TCTTATAAGACTTTAGTAGAAATTAATACATTTATGTGGAAATAATAACCAAAAAAAGACATTACTCCTAGTGAGGCTTTAAACTTTCAACAATAACAATTTTTGCCTTCAGTTTATATTACATTAATCTTGAAATATTTATAGTTTTGTCCTTTCTGTGGTATACAATGCCTAAAAATGAAATAAGATTCAAATATCTGTGTGTGACACAATGTGAGCTAAATTTATTTTATAGTAGAGTGGAGAACCCGTGAATTGGTCTTCATGACTGTAGATCTTATTGACAGAAATAGATACTATAGAGTTTGTGATGTGAAAAATATCCCCACCCTACAAAATAGAAGTTATAAATAACCCATTTATTAGATTTTCAGATATTCTAGGTTCCTGGAATATTTCATGTTTCTGTTATTCAAATCTATTGCTTTTCTTCAAACAACAGAGCCTCTGTCACACATCAATCATAAAGATATTCCATGACCTTGGGCATTTTTCCCAGTTCCTGGTAGGTAATAAAGTGCATATTCCCAACAATCAAATTGTGGATAATAAAAGCTGAAAGGCTTTAAAGTAAAGGGGACAACTACACACAAAGAGACCCTGTCACAGGGCAGATGAGAGGCACTCATCTCTTTGAGGACTAGCCATTGCTCTCAAATGCCATTATTGGAAGACTTTTACTCTTCTAAGCAATTCCTTGAGTCAGTTGATGACCCATTGAAAACCGACATTCTATAGCTTTCAAAAAAGTGCTATTGAATTGAAGGGCATACCCATAAATGGGAGCTATTCTATATAAATGTGAATATTCTTCTTCTATGGAAAGCTTACTATGATCATATAAATGCAGTATGAGCTATAACCTATATACACTGCAACAGTGATGGGGTTTTTATGTTTGACTGATATTCTTACATATCTTCCTTTTACTTAGTGTTTTAAAAGTTTTACTGATATCCACTTAATAAAACTGTAAAGACATTTGTCAAACATTTGCATACCTTTGTCTTTAGGAATTTTGGCATAGCACACAGTGATTTTCTTTCCCAGGAACTTATGTTGAAACTAGAGGTCCTGTGCATGAAATTTGTGCACTTGGGTGGGAGGGTCCCTCAACCCAGCCTACACCCTCTAGCAGTCCAGGAGCCCTTGGGGGATGTCCGACTGACGGCTTAGGCCTGCTCCTCATGGAGCAGGCCTAAGCCGTCAGTCGGACATCCTTAACACTGCTGCAGAGGCAGGAGAGGCTCCTGCTCCTGCCACCTCACTCACCAGCCATAAGGCCGGCTCAGGGATTCTGGCTGAGTGGTGCTACCCTCATAGGAGTGCACTGACCACCAAGGGACAGCTCCTGGATTGAGGGTCTGCTCCCTGGTGGTCAGTGTGCATCATAGCAACCAGTCGTTCCACCGTTTGGTCCATTTGTATATTAGCCTTTTACTATATAGGATAATGTTAGGTAACAAAAAACAGAAGGCTTTTAAAGCCATGAGTGACAACTACACAAGCAGATTCCCCTGTCCAAACAGAATTCCTTACCAAATATGGGCCCCAATTGAATTCTATTTGCTAGACATTTTGAATGAAAACTAAGAGGAGCCAATTTATTTCACTCTGCCTTAGTCTCTGGAGCAACTATCTTTCACTTCCCTTTGAAATGGGAGGAACTATGTTTAAAAACATGAATGAAGCAGACGAGCATCCAACCTGGCCTGGTGGATTTCAGTTCCTGATCCCTTTCCCTTCCTAAAACCTCTCTGTATTCTGCTCCTTGGGACCCATAAACACCCTTTTATGCTAACTGCAGTAGGTTTCTGTTGCTTTCAAGGGAAGAGTTAGAAAAATGAAGACTTTTGGAATCATGTACATCCATTTTCCCTTTGATTAAAAGGAGTGAAATGAATTGCTCCCACTTTAATATATGGAATGGGCTCTCAAGGCTCTCCCCTCTCTCATGTCTCCACAAACTTAGGCTTCATCCCAATGGTATTTGAATCATAACTTTTCAAAAATGTATTCTTTGAATAAAGTGTTATTTTGGGCTCCATTCAAACAACTTTGAATATTTTTTGATTAGTCACTGATTAATGTTTATATCACATAAATATAGCTTTTATTTACATAAAATATGAGAATATGAGGCAAGATATACACATATTAAATAGAATGTTTCACTTTCATGGGGAGAGAAACACTCTAGTCCTGTCACTTGCTTGCAATTATTGGATTATTTCATAGATTATTCCATGTCAGTAAACACTTCCAACTAACTGTAGCATATAACTAAGTGGCCATTTAAAAAAGCTTGTACTTTGAAAGAATATAGTCTTAAATTTATTATGTACTACCTCTCTTTCTTTTAAAAATTATTTTTTCTCATAATAAGGGCAATATATACTCACTGAAGAACAATTGTAAAATAAAGATAAATACAAAGAAAAAAATTAAAATCACCTATAATTTTAATTCCAAAAACAAACACCTTTAATGATGTTAAGGACGTGGTTTTCATGTATAACATGCTTATGTGTGTGTGAGTGTGTGTGTCTGAGTGTGTTTACAGGCTTAGTGTTGGCTGGCACTAAGGCCTCCAACTGCTCTGCCTGGATGAGACACGGTGCCATGGGAGCAGGGCCAAGACAACCCCTTGCTAAACTCTTGGTAGTTGATATGTCCAAAATAAGATTTGAGATTAGAGACACTTTGTAGGAGAAGTGGCAGTAATTATTGTTTTAAACCAATAGTGCTCCATATTACCTCTCTGCACGACCCCAGGCCTTTAAGTGATGTCTATTCACAAGTATTTCATTAGAATGGAGTTTCACATCTGGCTGTCTACCATGGTGGGGAAAGGATGGCATGTTGAATGCAGAAGCCAGGAAATTCTCAAGGTTCTGGGCTTTTTCTTTTTTCATATATATATATTTTATTTCAGAGAGGAAAGGAGAGGAAGAGAGAGATAGAAACACAATGATGAGAGAAAAATCATTGATTGACTGCCTCCTGCACACCCCCTACTGGGGGTTGAGCCTGCAAACCGGGCCTGTGCCCTTTGACGGGAATCAAACTCAGGGCCCTTCAATCTGCAGGTTGATGCTCTATCCACTGAGCCAAACCTGCTAGTGCAAGGTTCTAGGTTTCCTAAATAATCATTTAGACTTTCAAAACCAAGGACATTTTATGTAGCCTTCTGGTACCAGAGAGAGTCTAGTTGATATCTGAGGTGTATATGTTGGTGAGTATCACTATGTGCATGGCATTCTGCTAAACAGTTTACATGAATTATCTCACTGAATTTCCATAAAATCCTGAGGTTAATGGTAGAACTCAAATGCAGATATATGCTATCTTGTTTAAAAGTCTCTCTCTTTACCATCGATCAGTTATCTACACACACACACACACACACACACACAAACACACACACAAACACACATACACACACACACATATATCCTATATAATAAAAGCCTAATATGCAAATTGTCCCCTTGGGTGCTTGTTCGACCTGGAGTTTGTCCACTTGCTATGATGTGCACTGACCACCAGGGGGTGGAGTGGAACATGGCTGGTGCCAGCAACAGGGTGCTGGCAGAGGGCAGCAGTGGTGGCACTGCTGTCCCCGATGGGCCCCCACGAGAGCGGACTGCGGCAGGATGGGGGAGTAGGTGAGAAGGCAGTATCAGGCCAAGGTGGGTGAGTTCAGGGGCCTGATTGCCCTGCCTATCGCTCAGCAGATGGCGACCAGCGACAGTGGTTGCGGGGCTGCTGCCTGGCTCCCAGGCACTGAGAGAGCCGAGTGGGGGACCTGGCCCCGATTAATCGCCCCACAGGTGGGATGGTGGGACAGGTGAGGGGGAGGCACCAGGCCAAGGCAGGGTGCCAGGCGGGGCTGCAGGGCGGTGAGGTTGGGGGTGTGAGCTGGGGCCCGACCCCTGCAGGCTACACCAAAGCGCCCCACCCATGCACAAATTTGTGCACTGGGCCTCTAGTGTACATACATACATACATACATACATACATGCATATATACGTATATAAATATATACATATATATATACATACTAGTGGCTCAGTGCATGAAATTAGTGCACAGGGGTGGGGGGTCGCTCAACTTGACCTGCACCCTGTCCAATTTAGGATCCCTCTGGTAATCCAGAACCACTGGCTCCTAAGCACTCACCTGCCTGCCTGATGCCCTCAACTGCTCTCTTTCCTGCCTGATGCCCCTAACTGCTCTCCCCTCCTCATCTGATCTCCCCAACTGCCTATGTGCTCTCCCTTTCTTTCCACGCTTTCAGACTCCAGAGCAAGAGTGCTGAGAACTCTCTGCAGAGGCCCCGCCCCCATCCTAAAGACCCCACTCAGGGCCGAGCAGTGCCTGGAGCCTGCACCCACTTCCTCCGGGTGGCGGGGGCATGGGTGGGGGGTGGGCTGCCTCGGCTGTCCTGAAGCCCCCTTACAGCATCATGTCCCAGTGGAGCAAGTCCCCGCCCCTGTCCCTGCCCACCATTTCCTGAACATGTGCACCTTTGACTGGTCATGACAGACACCTTTAGGACCAAATAGCATATTATTTCTTTACATATGTGGATATACATATAAATATATCACAAGAATATACTGGATTTCCAATTTATTTTTCTTTCTTTCTTTCTTTCTTTCTTTATTTTTTAAATATATTTTATTGATTTTTTACAGAGAGGAAGGGAGAGAGACAGAGAGTCAGAAACATCGATGAGAGAGAAACATCAATCAGCCGCCTCCTGCACATCTCCCACTGGGGATGCGTCCACTACCCAGGCACACGCCCCTGACCGGAACCGAACCAGGGACCCTTCAGTCCACAGGCCGACGCTCCATCCACTGAGCCAAACCAGTTTCGGCTATTTTTCTTTATTAATGTTGAGACAAGTTTGATAAATTCTATTTTTTCTTGTACTCATTTTTTATTTGCAAAACTTTTACAAAAAGTAGAAAAATAAATATTTTGTCGGGTCTGAGTTTGACAATTCACACCCATAAATATATAAATAGTGGGTGGGAGTCAATAAATTACAAAAAGGGAGGGCATACATAAATACAATCCAAGAGGCTGGGACAGGTTGCAGGTGGGTGTCAGGGTCAGGCACACAGGTCTCCAGCGGCCACACATCTCAGGTCACGGGTGAGGAGGCGGAAGAGGTTCAATGTGACAGAGGCTTCAAGGCAGCCCTGGGATTCCTTCTTCCCGGCCTCCCAGAGGCGATGCAGCCATTGGCGGAGGAGGCCCCGGGGCCTGGGGCCTGCTGTGGCCTGAGCTGGGGCACAGGCCTGAAGCTTGGAGTGGATGTGGTGCAGCGTGTGCAGGGGCTGGTCCAGGATGTCCCCCAGGGTCGAGTTCTTCAAGGTCCCCAGGACCTTCAGTGTCAGGGCCAGCTCAGCCTCCAAGGCCACAGGGCGCTCCCACACCTGCAGCTGCCTCAGGTCCCGGGTCCTGGGGAGTGGGCGGGAGCCGCAGCTCCAGTTCTTAAGCAGGAGCGACTCTTCCAGGGCGTCCTTGACCCTCTTGAAGGCCTTCATCTCTTGTGGCGACAGAGACTTGAACTGGCCCATGTGGCAGCCCCTTGCACCCAGGTGGGTGCTGGGGGGCGTAGAGGCAGGAGCTGCTTTTTTCTGGGTCTCAGCCTTCTGCTCTGTCTGGATCTCTGAACTTGCAGCACTGCTGAGATGTAATTCTGCAGAGCTCCATGGTGCAGCTTTTAGCCTGGACAGAGGGGCAATCCCACCTGATGTAGGAAAAGTGAAAAGTCACCTGCCACTAGGGGAGCTCCAGGCTGGGGAAGTCCAGCCCATGCAGGGGTGGACCTTGAGCCAGGTGAGCAGCTGAAGTGAAAGGGAAAATGAAACAGCCTCTGATTCACTTACAGAAGGTGAGGTCATAAGAGGAATCTCAGGATATGGGCAGCCCCAGCCCCACAAAGAGGGGTCACAGTGTCCTGCTGGTTAGGGGACATAGAGATTTGCCTTCCTGCAGGATACCCCAGAGCAGGGAGAGGAGAAGAAAGGCACCTCTAGGGTAGTTGCCATAAAGAACCTGGAACTTCCAAGAGAGAGGCTGTTAGGGGAGGGGAGAAGAGGAAGGGAGAAGGCTGCTGGGAGGGTCGGGGAGAGTGTCAGAAAGGCAAAGCAGCCTGGAGTTAAGAGGAGACCAGGTCCTCCCTCCCTTCCCCACCCAGCACTGAGAGAAGAAGAAGGGGAGGAGGGCAACTTGACAAACATCTTTAATTGTCCAGATGCAGCAGGACCCAGGGATAGGAGGCTCTGCTGGGAAGTGAGGTGTGGCCAAGGACTTCAAAGGATCCTGCTCAGTGTGTGACAAATGCTTTCATTCATTCATTCATCACTCAAAAC